TTTAAAAACTTTTTTTTGGGGGCGCCTGGGTGGCGCAGTCGGTTAAGCGTCCGACTTCAGCCAGGTCACGATCTCGCGGTCCATGAGTTCGAGGCCCGCGTCAGGCGCTGGGCTGATGGCTCAGAGCCTGGAGCCTGTTTCCGATTCTGTGTCTCCCTCTCTCTCTGCCCCCTCCCCCGTTCATGCTCTGTCTCTCTCTGTCCCAAAAATAAATAAACGTTGGAAAAAAAAAATTAAAAACTTTTTTTTAAGTTTTATGTATTTATTTTGAGAGAGAGAGAGAGAGAATGAGACAATGAGAATGAGTAGGGAAGAGGCAGAGAGAGGGAGAGAGAATCCTGAGCAGCTTCCACACTGTCAGTGCAGAGCCTGCTGCAGGGCTCAAACTCACAAACTGTGAGATCATGAACTGAGCTGAAATCAGGAGTCAGATGCTTACCCAGCAGAGCCACCCAAGTGCCCCTGAGTGATGAGAATCCTGAAGAGGTGGCAGTGAAGCCAGGAGAAGGGCAGGCTGACTGGGACTTGTCACACCTGGCTCGCGTGGAAACTTTCTTCATTGTTCGGTTTCTCCCCGTGGAAGGGGCAAAGAACGTGTCCTGTGACTGTGCGACATTTACGCAGAAGAACATCAGGTGATGAGTCCTGTAGCTAAATCGACGAATGCGAATGAGCCTGCTGAATGTTCATCACGTTCGCTTCTTGCTTCACTGGCGTTTGGCGGGTCCTGGCAGCAAGTGGGTTCTTGGGAGATGGAGACCTGGCAGGTTGGATATACTGATCCTTGAGACACTGGGGATCTCTTCCTTCCTGTGGAATGAGCATCCATGGGATCTGGGGAAGCCGCCTGAGAAAGGGAGATGCACTTGAAAATCGATATTGCTAAGGGGGGAAGTTGGGCTTACGGTTTTGGACAGTCGGAGGTATTCACTGGGCCTGTGCGCTCCAGAAGGCTGGAAGCGCGGCAGAGGGAGTCTTGTGGTGAAGGAAACCTCCATCTGATGAATCCAGCATCTAATCAGGATCTATCTAATCAGGATACGGCAGGACCAGAATCCATTAATGAAAGCTGTACTTGGGAAGCATTTAAGAGCACTCATTCGTTTGTCCGCCTTGTCTTATCATGCAAGCTCTTGTGGAGGTGTGTATCATTCTCCCGTGAATGAGTCCAGCAGGTTTCTGTGGCTGTTGGGGTTGTCTGGAGACTTAGGTGTCTCCTCTTCTCCGGGCTTCGTTGCTTGGGTGCCACTTGTGTCTGATGCCTTCTTCAGGTCTGGAAGACTTAAGACGGTTTTGCTCTTCCTGAAGGTCAACTTTAATTTTATTTTTTAAAACTCTTACAATGTATGCATATTTGAAGTCATTTATGCAATGTCTAGCAAATAATCAGCTTGTGTTGCTCTGTTTTTATTTTCAGATCGAAGAATTTCGAAGGCTGAGGACACACGTCAAGGGGGCTGAACTTGTGGAAGGCTGTGACGGGATTTTGGGAGACAATTTTAGACCCACTCAGCCACTTAGTGACAGAGTCATTAGAGCTGCATTTCAGTAGCCAACGAGAACAGGAACGAGACTGCCTTCATCTGGGTATGTGCAGATTAAGGAAAAGAGGGCACACAGTTACATGAAGCTGCCATGCCAGAGTTATTCTCATGGTGATGCTGATAATTTAGCAGCGTGAGTGCACTTCATTTTGATAAAACAGATCACACGTTCGCAAGCGCTGTTAATTACAAATCAGGTGGCTTTAAAAATTTCACGCAGTGTTGAGAAAGAATCTGCCATCCTTCTATTTTCCCACCAGAGCAGCCTTTAATTGTCGTTTTGCTTTAATATTGACCTTCATGAGATAAGGAGCCTCGAGGCAGAGAGGCGGCCCCTCTTTACTCCAGGTAAAGAGGTTAAGTCCTTTTTAAGCGCTCCCTATGCTGTAGCCTTGAAACGGCAGCAGTCACCTCCTGATGACTGAGGAACACAAAGGAGGCCACTGGAGGAGTGTGTGAGCCTCAGAGTTGACCCTTGTCTAATGCAGATTCGATCTTATTTATCAGGGTAGGCGAGGGCAGATCTGGCATGCATTAAAACCCTTGACCTGTGCAAGTGCTTTTATTTGATAGATCAAGAAACGCTTGTCAGTTACGTGAATATGGCACGTTTCTTTATTGTCTAAGACATAATCTATGCATTTTAACATACCGAATTCAATATGTGTATACCTTATCCCCATAGAGCTAACAGGATAAAACGTCACAGACACGGGAAAGCTCAAATATACATAAATGGCTGTATATATGCTGGATTATTTCTTTACCTTGTGCATTGCCTAAGAGTGCATACAGAGGTCAGTTCCCTGAGCTGGCCAACCACTGCTTCCCACAAGAGGAAAGCATCTGTCGGAGTTAACGTAGGCAAACGGGTCAGAGCTTGGACTTTGTTCAATGGACCGTGGAGAGTGTGAGCTCACATACTGTGCGGGTGGAACGGTGTGTGGGAGTCCCAGGTCAGTAGAAATCTGTAGCCTCGAGAAGCTCACGGTCTCACAAGCTAGACAGTGGACGTTAGAATTTTAAAAGGTGATCATTTTGTCCACGTGTTTCCCCATCCGTTTTTCTTGCCTCTCTCTATATACCACATATTCCTAGTGTTCTGTCCAGACTTCTTTTTTCTTATGTGAATGTGCTTTGCTCATACATTCTTTCCCACCCCTGCAGGCCCAACTCAAATACTGTTCTCAGCACAAATTCTCTGCTTCTCCCTTAAATTGTGCCTCTCAGTTCACATTCTTTCTTCCAGTTAGCTATGTGTGTATTTCTTATTGTTTCTCTGTTAGATTCAAGGTTTTTAAGAGTTGAAGCATCTCCATTGTACCTTGAATCCATCATGACATATAATACTTTGTGTCTTGAATATCTATAGGCAAATTAGAAATTCTTTCTTTATTTTCTAAAAATGTTTAATTTGAGAGAGAGAGAGCGCACGCGCTCGTGAGTAGGGTAGGGGCAGAGAAAGAGGGAGAGAGAGAATCTCAAGCAGGCCCCGTGCTGTTAGCACAGAGCCCGATACGGGGTTTGAACTCACGACCTGAACTGTGAGATCATGACCTGGGCCAAAATCAAGAATAGGATGTTTAATCAACAGGGCCACCCAGGTGCCCCTGGAAATTCTTTAGAACTACGCATAGCGTGTATCAGCCAGCCACATTCCAGTCATTCACTGACTCTGCATTGCTTAGCCAGTACAGTTCTTCCCCTTCTGATTTTGGAGATGGTGAGGGCCAACCAGGCAAAGTTGCTTTCGTAGGAACGAGTGGGGACTTAGAGTAATCCATATATGGTAACAAGGGAGAAAAACCCAAGAGTGCTTTAAGCTAAGCCTTACAATGGAGGAACTAAAGAATTAAAATACATTTGCTCAAAAATCATTATCGAGCACCTACTATGTGAGGGTTCTGGGTATCCAAAGGTCAGAAGAACACGTCTCTAAGTTTCTCATGAAACTTAGAATCTCATGTGGGGAGCCTGACAGAGGAAAAACAAATACTTCAAAAACATACAGTTACAGCTTATAATGAATCCATGAATGAGAAGAAGAAGAAGAAAATGCAGTGAAGGAGATTTCAGATAGAGGGAATATCTCTTGCAAAGGCCCTGAGGGGCTGCTCCCTGTGGAGGAGGTGAGAATTTGATGCGTTGAGGTACAAAGGGAGACCCTGTACATCTGGCGTGTAGGAATCAAAGGGGCAGAGCTCTTATCTCGGAGGCCCCGAAGCCTCTGGCTGCCACATGAAGGCATCTTTATTTTGCTGTTGATGTGCTGAGAACCCATGAAGACTTTTACTCAGGGGAGTGGCTGGACCTCATGTGTGTTTTCAATAGATCACAGTAGCTGGGGAATGAACAGATCGGGTCATAGTGGGCTAAGGGGGAGGGGGAGGGAGATATTTTAGAAGTCTGCCGGGTAGCCGAGGTGAAAGACACAGAGTCTTGGCTACTAGAATAGGAGCAGTGGAGATGCGGAAAAGTTAAAGTGTGTTAAATAAACATTGAAAGTGATACTTCGTTGATAAATTGGATGATGGTGGAAGGAGATGGAAATAGCCAAAGATAGCTTCTGGGAATTGGGGGCTTTAGAAACTTGTGTGGATGAAGTGCCATTGAATGATGGCAGGAAAGCCAGAGCAGACTCTGGGTTGGAAAGACAGTGGAGTTGGAGCTCGTTGAATGAGAGATGGTCTGTCAGTCACAGTGGTGGACCCCTCATGTAGGTACTAGAGTTTCGAGAGTGGAGATCAGAAAGGAGGTCTGAACTGAGTATGGTCGTCATTGGCATGGAGATTATGTATATGTATGTGTATGTGTATGTGTATGTGTATGTGTATGTGTATGTGTATGTGTATAATGTTCTGATGCTACATGGGATCATCTCATTAAGTGCTCCTAAAATTTAACAGGCAGCCTTATAAATAAGTTCCTGAAGCACAGAGAAATTAGATCACTGGCTAAAATAATGCAGTCCCTGAGTGGCAGAGCTGGAAATTGGACCTGGGCAGCCTGACCGGCAGAGCCCTTCTTCTTACCCACTGCACGGCAGAGGTCAGAGAGCATCCCCACACTGGCGGTGGGGGGTGGCGTGCTGAGGGAGGGATGTGTGTTGCGCAGGCAGGCCTGAGTTGAGTGGGAAGGGAGGAGGGGGAGGTGTCTTGTGATGTCTCAGAGGGGCTGATCCTAGCTGTGAGGTCCCTGAGGAGTTGAAAGGGGAAGAAACCTGGGGTGCCTGGCTGGCTCAGTTGGAAGAGCATGCGACTCTTGATCTGGGGGCCTTGAGTGCAGGCGCCACGTTGGGTGCAGAGACTACTGAAAACAAAAAGGGATGAAATCCTAAGCAAATGTCGATACTGCTTTGTTACGAGAGTGGACACTTTCTGGGCTATTATAGGAAGGGAGAAGGAGGTGGTGGGTTGTAGCTTTTGAGTTTCCCTGACTTGCCTTTGTTATTTAAGGAAGAATGGGGCTGCAGCCAGGAGGCGTGAGAGCAGGAGGGAAGGTGGAAGATTAGAGCAGAGAGAAGGGAGGGACGGTGGGTTCACAGGAGCAACACAGTAGGAGGGGTGGGCAGGAGGTGCAGTGAGGTTGGGTGAAAATGAATTTATTGATTTCTCCAGTCTAGGTTTTAGTGTACTCTGTGAATACCAGTAACTATAAATGACACTTTTTATGAAATCAGATTATTACCTTGAATTTTTAAAAAAAAATTTTTTTTTTCAACGTTTATTTATTTTTGGGACAGAGAGAGACAGAGCATGAACGGGGGAGGGGCAGAGAGAGAGGGAGACACAGAATCGGAAACAGGCTCCAGGCTCTGAGCCATCAGCCCAGAGCCTGACGCGGGGCTCGAACTCACGGACCGCGAGATCGTGACCTGGCTGAAGTCGGACGCTTAACCGACTGCACCACCCAGGCGCCTCTACCTTGAATTTTTGATCCATATCTAGTCCTAGGCCAGAGTTGCCTTTCTGTAAAGATCTAAATAACCGTCGCTCTTTTCTGTCTCCCCCCACACATGGCACGCAGACCAAAATGTTGTTGATGAGATTATGTGTATTTCAGATACTTCGTATTCCTTATATGGTAGGAAGGTAAAGAATAAATTTTCAAGGCTTTAAATCAATTATGACCTAGGCATTTTAAAAGGAGGGTGGATTTGTGTCCTCATCTTTGTGGCCAAGATTACTTAAAGGGTGTCACTTTCCCCCGAATTCCTTAGAATGGTGTAGGAGTTCTTTCAAAGGCAACTCCAGTTCTGACTTCATCCTTCTATGAATATATTTTTGACCCTTTTATCTTGAAATGTGTAATACAAATCTAGTCATAGTTCTACATAAAATTATATTGGGAAATCAAACTTATGGATGTGTGCTTTTTATTGGATATTTAATAATGCCCTAAGGGCGGTAATTCAAATTTTTATTAAAGTGGAATGATTTGACAGTCAGACTTTGAATTTAATGCATTAATGTTTCATTTAAGCTCTTGGAACTGAAAAGGAAAAAAAAATTCTGGTAGTTCTCTAAAAAATGTTTAAAATAATTCAGATTTATTTTAGCTATGTCTTACTAAAATAACTTTAGTTTTTGGACTTAAAATGACTTTTTTTTTTTTTTTTATATGACATGGCTAGACATCTGGAGAGCTTTGATAACCAAGACTTATTATTCCATGAATAATCTGTGACTTTTTATATTACCATTTAAGAAGTATGAACTATGGTTTTATACTTGTTTAAAGAACTAGGTTATAACTCATCCAGGTGCTGGAAATTCTTTAGTTTTGCAGTGCTAGTTCAGGTTTCTGGGAGCCAGTGGACATGAAATGATCCATTACCCATTGAATTTTCTGTGTGAGAACCATATCTGTGTAATAACAAAAAACAAGACCAAAGTTTAGGTCCAGTTTACTTTTTTTTTTTCCATTCTCTTTATTTGGCATTTGTTCATTTGATACATATATAAAAATCTATACAAGGTAAAAATACAAAGTAAGTATTTCTTTATAAGTTATGCAGTTAGATAGCTACAAAGTTTAAAAGCC